CACACACACACACACACACACACACACACACACACACACACACACACTCATCACCCCGGCATCCGTGAGCAGAACACACTGCGGCTACCACGTCAAGAGAGAAAGCCAGAGCTGAGAGATAAGAGCAGTCACAATGGATTGATTTTATAATGCTGCTTCTCTACAAGCTCAGAATGCATGAAAATAACACAGAAATACCACATCTACTCCTATTATTCTCAGGGACAAAGGGAGTGAGCTGGGAAGCACAATTAAGAGATCCAACAAAGAAATAAGACTTTTGAATAGAAACATAAAAACAGAAAACAAGTTTTACTTCAGTGGCTCTTCTGTGTTGCCAAGACATGCCTCTAAAACATATAACAAAATAAGAAAATCCAAAAAATTCAATGTTTTGTGACTGGTAAATCAACAATTTGGCTTCGTCTGAGGGCAAACAAAAATCTGTTTCCATCACATAGACCAACATCTTCATCGGTATATGAACACTAGACTGTAAGAGGATTATGATATTTAGCAAGTCCAAAGTTCGCTTTATTGTCAATTCCACAATGTACTGGACATACAGGGGAGTTGAAAAGACGTTTCTCTCTAGTCCAACATATAAACATATAAAGTGAATACAGTGCAATAGATTAAAAAAACATTTAGACAATATATATATAATAAGAGAAAAAAGAACAAAAAAAATGATCAATCTGTATTTAGCAGCAGTTGGACATGGGGAGTCTTAAAAGAGAGGAGGGAGAGAGTTGAGAGAGTTCAGCTTCCTAACAGCCTGGTGGACGAAGCTGTTTGAGAGTCTGGTGGTGCGAGCACGGAGGCTCCGGTATCTTCTCCCAGAGGGCAGGAGGCTGAAGAGACTGTGTGAGGGGTGGCTGGAGTCACGCACAATCATGGTCACTTTGCGGGTGAGGCGAGTGTCATATATGTCCTGCAGGGAGGGGAGTGAGGGGAGTGAGGCACCAATGATCCTTCCAGCTGTGTTCGCTATGCGCTGCAGGGCTTTCCTGTTGTAGTCAGTGCAGCTTCCGCCCCACACAGAGATACAGTTTGTCAGGATGCTCTCAATGGTGCCTCGGTAAAAGGTGCACATGATGGGTGGTGGTGTTCTTGCCTCCTTCAGTTTGCGGAGAAAGTAGAGGCGCCTCTGAGCTTTCTTTGCCAGTGATGTTGTGTTGGCTGTCCACGAGAGGTCCTCACTGATGTCCACCCCCAGGAAGTTGGTGCTGCTCACCCTCTCTATATCAGCACCATTGATGGTCAGTGGTGGGTGTTGAGTGTGGCCTCTCTGGAAGTCAACAATAATCTCCTTGGTCTTGCTGTTATTCAGAAGGAGGTTGTTGTCTCTGCACCACGTGGTCAGAAGGCTGACCTCCTTCCTATAGTGGGTCTCATCGTCGTTGGTGATGAGACCTACCAGAGTTGTGTCGTCTGCAAACTTGACCATGTGATTGGTGCTGTAGGTTGTGGTGCAGTCGTGTGTCAGCGAGGTGAAGAGCAGTGGACTGAGCACACAGCCTTGAGGGGCCCCTGTGCTCAGTGTGATGCTGCTCAAGGTGTTGTTGCCGACACGTACTGCTTGTGGCCTCTCACTGAGAAAGTCCAGCAGCCAGTTACACAGCGAGGTGTTGAGCCCCAGCTGGTCAAGTTTGAAGATGAGTTTTTGTGGGATTATGGTGTTGAATGCTGAACTAAAGTCTATGAACAGCATTCTCACATACGAGTCTTTTGAGTCCAGATGGGTGAGGGCTGGGTGGAGAGCAGAGCAGATTGCATCCTCCGTGGACCGTTTGGCACGGTATGCAAACTGGAAAGGGTCCAGGGTGGGGGGAAGAATGGATTTGATATGTGACATGACTAGCCGTTCAAAGCACGTCATGATTATGGGGGTCAGTGCCACCGGACAGTAGTCATTAAAGCAGGACGGAGTGGATTTCTTTGGCACAGGTATGATGATGGTGGCCTTGAAGCATGATGGTACAACAGCTTGTCTCAGAGAAGTATTAAAGACATCTGTGAAGACATCCTTAAGCTCCTCTGCGCAGTCCTTCAACACACGACCAGGGATGTTGTCTGGACCTGTTGCCTTGCGGGTGTTGATAGTGGAGAGTGTCCTCTTCACGCTGGCAGCAGACAGGCACAGAGCCTGATCGTGGGGAGGGGGCGGAGTCTTGTGTGGACGTGTGCTGTTTTGCGTTTCAAACCGTGCAAAGAAGCTGTTGAGGTTGTTTAAAGTTAAGAATAAAGGCAGGAGGTAAGGGGGAAGGATGTATGTCAAAGCTGCAGGTCCAGGGTCAGCCTCTCGAGGTCACTCATTATGAGCTCACTCTATAGTGACAAACAGTGTCTGCACTGAATGGCAATTTTCCGTGAGTGCCATTATACCCACAGATTGTAGACACAGATATTGTACAAGTAAAGTCTGACTTACAGCGACTACAATTGAAACTAAATAGCACATTGTAACTCATTTCCCCTTGCAGTCGCAGTAATTGTCTCTCTGGGTGTGCCATTCTGTACTGCATGTGTTAGTATGTAAACAAAGCATTTTATGTGCGCAGACTCTTCTTAGTTCCGACCGTGTGACGTGTGAGGCTACACTTCACACACACACACACATAAATAACTCAAGAGCAAGCTGAACACACACAGAAAAGAGCTGAGCCCAAACATTCTTCCAATTTCCCACCTTGTGATATCGATCGGACAGTGGGAGCTATGGGGCAGAACATTACCTTGCTACCTCCTGGCGAAAACACACCCTGACACACACACACACACACACACACACACACACACACACACA